CTCTACTTTTTAAAGATAATTAATAAGGAGAGAACTCTTGCCTTCACTATTTTTGTTGGATCACCTTTTTGTTTCACCATGTATTCCACCATTTTCTGGAGGGTGGGGGTATGCGTATATAAAGATGAGTAGAATGCAATCCCTCCTCTGAAGTAGATCTAGTCCCACTTCTGCCTTGCATTTGTAAAGTTAAGAAAATCACAGTTGGATGTTCAAAGCTAAGCTTTTGGAGGGTAAAAAAAATTTAGTCGCATAACTCCCCCCTCCCCTTTTTAGTATTGAGGATTGAACCCAGGACCTCATACAAGCTAGGGAAGCACCCTGCCTCTTGGCTACATCCTTAGCCAAAGCTATTTCCTTATTATAGAATTTAGAATTGAATAGTGTGGGACTATTTAGAGATCACTTAGTCCTCACATAATTGTAAAGATTTCATGAGAGAAAATACCCCTCCCCACAGATACTAAGTATTTAATAAATGTGAGTTAAATCTGAATATAATCTACAATTGATGAAAAAAGAAACCCAGCAAAATGAAATGACTTCCCTGGTGCCGTACATTTAGTTAATGTGTAAGTCTGGCTTAGGTTTCAGATCTTTTTATTCCTAATATACCTTAATTCACATCTTCTGCCTTGGAGAGATTGCTAAAATGTCAAAGTGGGGAGGCTAACTCAATTACTTAGTAATTATTTACATTGTACTGAGTGCCTGTCACTCTGCTGGACTCTGGTGAGTACAGAGGAATATTCCCATTAGGTGGGAGAGAGTTGGGAAAGGCAACAGGTAAGAACAAGGACGTCCTGTTTTATTTACATTGTACAAGGTGCCTGTCACTCTGCTGGACTCAGGTGAGTACAGAGGAATATTGCCATTAGGTAGGAGGGAGTTGGGAAAGGCAACAGGTAAGAGCAAGGACGTCCTGTCTGATGTTGAGGAGAGAGCTATTAAGTTAGGGTGGTATAAGATAAGAAGGGTGGGGTGAAATGGAACACTGAGAAGTCCAAGCCTGCCTTGTATGACTACATTCTGTTTCCTTTAAGAGTCAGCCCTTTGAAAGAACATAGTATGACACAAAGAATGTAGCCACTGGAATTAGCCTTGAGTTTGAATTCTGGTTTTTATGACACTGCTCAAAACCTATCAACTGCTTGCCATTTAATTAAAATTTCAAGTCCTTATAATTGTTAACAAAGTCCTATAAAATCTGACTCCCCACTTTCTCTTTGAGCACTTTTTTCTCTCTCTTTCTCATTATGCTCTAGCCACCCTGGTGCTCTAGTTATTCCTGTACCATGCTCTCTTGCATTGGGAACTTTGTACTGATTACTCTGTCTGAAATGCTTTTCCCCCAGATAGCTGTAGCATGATCCTACATTTCCTTTAGATCTCTGCTAGGTGTTACCTTATCAGAAAGGTTTCTCTGACCACCATATATAAACTAGTACTCTTTGCCTCCCTCTGTTATTCCAGCCTTCACCTGAGTTTATATTTCTGTGTAGCACTCACCACCAGCTGATGTGTATTTATTACCTATTTTTGAGAATGTAAGTTTCTTGAAGGCAAGTGTATACAGAGTAGAGTACCTACTGTATATGAACAAATGAGTTCTGTAAGTCTCATGAGCCTCATTGTGACCATCCAAATGCAACATTGGGATACTGATGCTTACTTAAAGCATTGTTGGGGTTAAATAAGATAATACTTATCAAGTACCTAGCCCAGTATCTGGTACAAAGTAAATGGTCAGTAAATGCTAATGCCTAATAATAAATTATTTTTGTGGCTTTCAAGTTAATAGCTTTAATGTGGTATCCTTGTTCCCATTAAACTTAGGGAAGAAGAAATCTACATGAAAATGATGAAGAAAAATGGTTATTTATATTTCATGCTGTCTTAGCAGAATGCAGTAATTGGAATTGTGCTTACATTTTCCTATGGAACATCTATAAGTAACTCCATTTAATAGAACAGTTATATGTTAGGGAAGTTTTGTCAAAAGGCAAATTTTTTAATCAAATAAGTTGTATGATCCATTATGAAATTGGATATATATATATATATTTTTTTTTTTTTTGTACAGGGGATTGAACCCAGGGGTACTTACCCACGGAGCCACACCCCCAGCCCTATTTTTTATTTTGAGACAGGGTCTCACTAAGTTGAAAGTATGCTTTTGCTAGGAAAACATGGTATCAAAATTAGAAAATCATTATCTGAAGTGCTACAAACCTGTATATTCTTTACTCTGGACATTTTTGCTTTGCAATACCCATGATGTAATAATTTTGGCTAGGGAGAAATAACTTGTACATACAACTAAGAACTGGATTATTCCATTTCTGTTCACGAGTGTGGTCACTCAGCAAAGAATTAAAAGATTTTTGTTTAATCATTGCTTATCAGATTTATGGACTGATTAACATGTCAGTGCTATTGTAAAGGTACTGGCACTTAATAAACTTTAGGAGTTTTTTTGTTTGTTTGTTTTTGTTGTTGCTTTGCTAATTAGGAACAAGATTATAACTATGACCCCAACATTTTGTATTTTAAAGAGCACCATTGGGGCTGGGGATGTGGCTCAAGCGGTAGGCGCTCGCCTGGCATGCGCGGGGCCCTAGGTTCGATTCTCAGCACCACTTAAAAATAAAGATGTTGTGTCCACTGAAAACTAAAAATAAAAATAAATATTAGAAAAAAGAGCACCATTAACATAAAGTGAATTTGGAACAATTATTATTTTTTTTTAGAGAGAGAGAGAATTTTTTAATATTTGTTTTTCAGTTTTCGGTGGACACAATATCTTTATTTTATTTTTATGTGGTGCTGAGGATCGAACACAGTGCCCTGCGCAGGCCAGGCGAGCGATTAATGCTTGAGCCACATCCCCAGCCCCAAGGAACAATTATTCTTAAACTTCAAAATTCTAGTAAGTAAGCATTTTTTCTTTTTGGACATGGAAGATTTGTACATACCTTATCCCTATAACCTTCAGAGATTATACAATATACATTGATTTTCTCATTTTCTTCTTCTAAGCCTATTATTTAGCAGTCTGGTATTGCACAAGCGAAACTTTGACATTAATCTAGAAAGGATAGGAGAAACACCCATAAAGGAGCTTTATAGCTATTTTGTTATCTCTTGAAGTTCTGTTGAAACTTAAAGATAAATATGTTCCTGAGCAAAGAGTACTTGATTAATCTGTTTTGTTCTTCATCTACTTGTAATAGAAGACAATGAATGCTCTTAACAAGCAGGTAGCACTCTGCTGTCATGTATCTAAAAGGACAAAAAGGCAAGCAGGGCACAGTGAGAGGCTGAGACAGGAGGACCGAACCTTCAAAGCCAGCCTCAACAACTTAGCAAAGTTCTAAGCAACTTAGTGAGATCCTGTCTCAAAAAAAAAAAAAAAAAAATAAGGCTAGGGATGTGGATCAGTGGTGCAGTGCCCCTAGGTTCAATCCCCAGGATGACAACAACAACAACAACAAAAGGCAAATGCTACTACCCACCCTGTAGTCCCAGCTTCTGTGGAGGCTGAGGCAGAAGGATTATGAGTTTGAGTCCAGCATGGGCAACTTAGTGACACCCTATCTCAGATTTAAAAAAAAAAAGCACTGGTGGGTGTGTGTGTATGTGTGGGGGGTCTGAAGATATAACTCATGGTACAGCACTTGCCTACCATGCAAGGCCCTGGTTCAATCCCCAGTAATAACAAAATTTAAAAAAAAGCTAATCATACAACTAACATCCTCTCTGAATAAATAAATTTCCTCCACCACCCTCAGCAATCAGACAAAGAAAATGGAAAGCAAGACACACAAGAAATCATGGACTGTATTCCTGTTGCAGAGATCAGTGATAGACAGGGGTGGTCACATTCTTAGGCAGACTGGAATTAAGAGTATTCCTTCTTATTTATAAATGGTCAGTTCCCTGGACCTCTACTTCCCTGGTCTAGGATAATGGGTTAGATGTCCAGGATTCAAACATGACCATTCTAAATCTTAGCAGAACATCTAGGAAAAAGTAAAAAGGATTGAACAAAAGCATATGATTGACCATGTCATGGCATAGATAGTATAGTTGAAAGAATACTCCATATGCCTATGGTTGAAGTTTTGCCCTGCAACTGATTATGTATGCTTATATAAAATACTTAACCCCTCTAAATATATTTTCCTGTCCACAAAATGAAAGTATACCTACTTCAGACTATCTGTGAAAATTAATAAGATAATGCATACAAAACACATTGAAGTGCTCAATCATTAGTAACCTATTAATAATAAGAAATGTGTACACCATCTTTCCAAAATGTTGGCTATAGAAAAATTTGTATATATTAGTGGCTTTAATTTTTTTTCCCTCTACTGGGAGTTGAACCCAGGGCCTCATAAATGTTAGGCAAGTGTTGGTTATTCTACCACTGAGCTCTAATCATCCTACCCTCCCACCCTTTCCTCCCCTCCTTAATTTTAATATAGGGGTTAGTTAAATTGCTCAGGCTGGGCTTGAATTTGTGGTTGCTCTGCCCCAGCCTCTGGAGTAACTGAGATTATAGGTATGCACCACTGTACCTGGTTGGATTTAATGTTTTATTGTTCGGTATCGATATTTGGTTATTAAGACCCTTCCAAAGATTTTGTGTGGGGGTTTTGTTGTTGTTTGTTTGCCTAGTACTAGGGATGCAAAGCAGGGGCTTTGGGTATGTTTAGCACCTGCTCTATCACTGAGCTTCCTCCTCACTCCTAAAGGTGATTAAATTTTTAATCAATGTCATGGGAGATCTGGAAAAATTACTTATTTTTTTGAGGATGATAAATAAAGCCACCACATACTGCTTAGTGACATATTTACTGTATAGGTAAAAGGTAATTGGTTTTTGGAGGAATGTATATGGTAAGGTTTTGATCATAACCTTGATCTGAGAAGTAGGGTGCTCATGATGAATGTATTTTTCTTTTAAGTAAATCTTTTTCCCTCCCTTTCCCCAGCTGCTCAGATAAAGAATTTGATGAGCCAACTAGGAACTAAGCAGGACTCAAGCAAGCTACAGGAAAATCTGTGAGTAGCTTCCTAACAAGGTTGTGATTTGTGAGGGCACTTTGAGGACATTAGTATCCTTGCTGCGTGGCAGCTTAGGTTTCAGGTCTGTGAAGTCAGAATGAGAAGCAATGGATCAGAAGGTAATAGCTGGATTTAGAAAGGGGCAACAAAGTATATTAATCCAGATTTCCACTGCTTCTCAAAGGCCTTGAACTACTTACTTTCTTCCTTTGGTCAGTATAATAGGACAATTTAGGCACATAGAGAAGGGAACTCCTATCTCTCTCTTAAACTGTATTCTGCTCACAACTCTGCCTAATGAGCCACTTTGTTGGCACAGTACTCCTAATGTTCTAGTCTAGTTGGATTTTCAACTATATATGATATTAGAAAAATTTATTCAGAATGACCCAAGGGGAGCTTGAAGGAGAGAATAGTGGAACTTCTGATCTTCTTCTTCTTATTTTAATCATATTCTTTTTGACTCCATTCCGGCTTTTATTTATTTATTTTTAAAAATATTTTTAAAATAAATAAATAAATTAATTAAAATAAGTATTTTTAATTTTAATTTAATTTATTTTTTTTTTAAGGAGAGAGAAAGAATTTTTTTTTTAGTATTTATTTTTTAGTTTTCGGCGGACACAACATCTTTGTTTGTATGTGGTGCTGAGGATTGAACCCGGGCCGCACGCATGCTAGGCAAGCGCGCTACCGCTTGAGCTACATCCCCAGCCCCTAAAATATTTTTTTAATTGTAGATGAACAATATATTTATTTATTTTTATGTGGTGCTGAGGATTGAACCCAGTGCCCCACACGTGTGAGGCTGATGCTCTGCCACTGAGCTACAGCCCCAGCCCATCCATTCCTGCTTTTAGAAGCTTAGTTCTTTATCTTTAAAATATATTAAGCAGTATTCCTGTTTCCTGTCCTAAACATTCTGAAGTGAACATGACTATTATTACTGTGAGCTTTTTTCAGGGAGAGATGAAATCTCTATCTTAGTGCTGTCTGGGATGTTCTCACTCCTGTTTGACTCTCTTTTGTTTTTTATTCCTATGTTTTTTAATCCTGGAGACCCATTTGCAGTGAAAAAAAACATTAATAGTAGTATGCTGTCTTAGTCCATTCAGGCTGCTATAACAAAACACTATAAACCAGTTAGTTTATAAACAACAGAAATTTATTTCTCATAGTTCTGGAGACTGGGAAGTTCAAGATCCAGACATGGCAGATATAGTGTCTGGGGAGGGACTGCCTTTTCAGGTGATGCCTTCTCACTTGTATTTTCACTTAGTGAAAGAGGCAAAGCAGTTCTATAGGACCTCTTTTTTAAGGAACTAACCTTTCATAACTAAGCCACTCTCATGATCTAATCACCTCCCAGTACGATTTCCTAATATTATCACCTTGCAGGTTAGGATTTCAACATATGAGTTTGCGGGGCGCATACATTCAGGCCATAGCGTGTGGTTTCTCTGTCCTCCCTAAAACCTTTGCAGAAATGACCAGATAGTAGAGGAAACCACAAATCAAAGGAACTTTTTTTTATTTATCCACCACTTTCTAATCTCACTTAATATATTATATTTTTTTGCCTCTTTAATGTCCTTTCTTCCTACTCCTTTTATTTTTGGGGGGTTGTTTTTTGAGACAGGGTTCACTATGTTGCCCAGGCTGGCATAGAACTCCCAGGCTTGTGATCCTACTGCCTCAGCCTTTTGAGTAGCTGGGACTACAGGCATGTGCCACCATACCCACCACCCAGCTTCCCCCAACCCCCACCTTCTTTTATTGGTGCATTATAGTTGTACATAATGGTGGGATTTGTTTTTACATATCATGTACACAATATAATAATATAATTTGGCCAGTATCCTTCCCCCAGCTTCATATGGGTTATGCTCCTAACCCCTTACTTATATATTTTTAAATAATATAGGGCTTCTTTGTTTTGAAGGGAGAAATAAAGTCAAGTATAAAGAGCAGGAAGGCATCCAAAGATAAATCTGAAAAAGAATCAGCCTTTAAGCAAGAATGAGGGAATAGATCTTTGAAGGTTGTTCCCTAGGGTAGGTGCAAAGCTATGCTTTTAATGCATATTTCATTCAACCACCTATGCCTGGACTCTAGTCGGTGGACTGTGACAGATACTGACCATGCAGAACTCCTGGGTAATTCAATATGAGAATTTTATGAGAAAGTTCAGGGTGTTAAAACCATGAGATTTAGGTGTGGGCAGTAATTGCTCTTTCTCTTGTTTCTATCAGAATTGCTGATGTGCTTTTTCCCCAAAGAGTTAAAATTCCTGATTGTGCTTCCTTCAGCAGGTATCTTGAGGCAGGTTCTTTTTGCTAATGTGACTGCTTCAATAATGTGAAGATGTCTTGAAGTAGGTTTTCCTGGGTAATAGTAATGACATTTTTTTGTGAACATGGGCGTTGAGGTGCCCTTTTTCTTCAAATAGTCCTTCATTCCCTGCATTGTGAGACATTCTGAGAACAAAGTAGTACTCAGTATGATAGCTCTCAAGAAGTGACAGCATCTTGAAATATATCTTTTTTCTCTTAGGCAGCAGTTGCAGCACTCCACAAATCAGCTTGCCAAGGAAACAAATGAATTGCTGAAGGAATTAGGGTCCTTACCCCTTCCCTTATCTACTTCAGAACAGGTTGGTATTTTCTGTTTTGCTTTATTACTAAGAAAGCACTTTGTTTTAGTAGAAAGGCAGTATGGTGGAACAAAAATTGGTCTTTGATGCTAGATAGACTTTCTCTGAACCTTAGTTTCCTTATATGTAAAGTGGGGTGACTATTGTGGCATTAGAGAGAATGTACGTACCAGATGTAGCAAAGTGCTTGACATTCAGTAGGTATTCAATATGGGGTGGTGCTATTATTAATATGTTAATAAAATGGATTTTGCTGAATTAGAATTTCAGTGTTTGCGTCTCTTTAGGATTTGGCTAGCAGCCCCATGTTGGCAGGCTTAGACCTAGTTTGTATGGGATCCACTATCTACAAATTTCCATTAAACATCTTTCTTTCATATTTTGTGTCCCATCAAGGGTTATTCATAGGTCTCAGGTTAAGGAAATATTCAGGGAAGATTTTTTTTCTAAGTCATTTTACTCAAAGGACATTTAAATTCTTTAAATGAACACACTTTTTACTTGGATTCATTGTTCCCTAAGTGTCTTCTTTCATCCTGGAAGCCAGATGTGTCTCCTCCTTCATCATGGTTTAACTCTTTTATCTCTTATCCATGGTCTACCTTAAGGAAAAAACTTCTCCATCTGCCTTAGCCTATTGTGATTCTATTTTATTTTAGCTTCTATTCCACTCATGGGGCACTTGACTTATATGACTTTTTATTATTGAACTTTTAAAATTATGATATCCTATCTCAGATAGCTCTAAAGACAAAGCCTTCAACTTCCCTATCCTGGGTTGTTTTTAAATTTGTGGCTTGCTGGGCTATGGTCCACACCTGTAATCCTAGCAACTCAGGGGGTTGAGGCAGGAGGATCACAAGTTAAAACCAGCCTGGGAAACTTATTGATATCCTGTCCCAAAATAAAAGAGGCTGGGAATGTAGCTCAGTTGTAGAGTGCTCCTGGGTTCAATCCCCAGTACTGAAAGATAACAACAAATAAAATGGTGACTTGTGGGTCTGGGGATATAGCTCAGATGGTAGAGTCTTGCCTCTCATGTACAAGGCCCTGGGTTCAATCCCTGGTACCACACACACAAAAAAGAACTGTGACTTGCTGTTGATAACAACAACAAATAAAACTGTTAAGTGTGTTGTTGAAAATGCCAATCGCATTTTCAAAAACCAAACTAGAGTAGAAATATCAGAGTTTTTACTGTGTAATAAGAGTAAATATCATTATATAAAACTGTAGTTTGATATATATATGTGTGAACAGTATTGGGTCATGAGGTCAAATTCATACTGTGGGTCTCCAAAAACTTGAAAGCACCAGTTTAACCTGGCAAGCTGTTTAATGCAGCAATGTTCAGTCCAGAGTTTTGGAGCTCTTTGCACAAAAGAGGATCCAAGACTAGAAGCTTTGTCTTCCTGCTACAAAATACTTTTGATAAACAGTAAGATTATCCATTAGTTGATTTAGTGGTTACTCATGTTGACGTTTCTGTTATGGGACAGTGCACCCTTACCATCCAAAATATCTCCAGCTTGTTCCCAAATTATCTGTTTCTTCCTCCCAGCTATGTACTTAGGGAATATACATTTGTAGATAGATTTTATAGCAATAATAAAGCAATAATAATAATAATAATAATAATATACCAATAATAAAGGAATCTAAGGATTTGATGCAGACAGAGTAAGGTTTATTTATTTATTTATTTTTTTTTTAAAGAGAGAGAGTGAGAGAGGAGAGAATTTTTAATATTTATTTTTTAGTTCTCGGCAGACACAACATCTTTGTTGGTATGTGGTGCTGAGGATCGAACCCGGGCCGCACGCATGCCAGGCGAGCGCGCTACCGCTTGAGCCACATCCCCAGCCCCAGAGTAAGGTTTAAATAGTAAAGTCTAAGCAAAATATAAATAGAAAGCTAAATCTGCTACCCCTAGAATCATCTAATGTATTCAAAAACCAAACAAGTTATTTTTGGATTATGCATGCTATTGTTTACTTCCATTAGCTTGGATTATTAAGAACATGAAATAGATCTACAAACATATTCTCTCTGATGAAATATAACTCCTTGATTCCCTTTCTCCTATTGTGATGATTACCTTTTTGTCTTTCTACTCTTGCCTTATTTAATCTTAGCCCTATTGCCCATCTTTTCACTGACACCCTGGGCATAAAACATACATTCTATTTTCAGTTTCCCCATACATTCTATAGGTATGAGGATAACTATATACTAATATCAGTGGTCTTCTAGTTGCCAACTGGACAAATCCAGTGGCCTCTTTTGAGTTTTTATTTACTTTTCCTCTCTTGTTTTCTTTGGTCCACTAGTGTTTTTTGTTTTGCTTTGTTTTGCCACTGAACTTTCTTTTTTTCCACGATTCTCTTTTATTCTTTTCCCCAACTCTGGTTGACTTTCAGTCTCCTTCCTTGATAATATATCATCCTAGAAGTAGGCATGCCCCAAGGCTCTGCCATTGACCCTCCAGTTTTTCACTCAATACTTTCTCCCCCAGGAGTCTTATTTATGTTTATGACCTCCCTGTCACCTTTAGGATCAACGACTCCCAAATATTTTTCCAACCCTAGCCCTTTAGCCTTCCATACTTGGCCCATATTGCCAGTTCTGTTCTCACATCTCCTCTTGAAATATACTACCTGCATAAAAAATTTAATGGGGTATTGGGCCGGGGTTGTAGCTCAGTGGAGAAGTGCTTGCCTGGCATGTGTGAGTCACTGAGTTCAATCCTTAGCACCACATATAAATAAATAAAATAAAGGTATTGTGCCCATCTACAACTAAAAATATATACATTTTTTAAAATTTAATGTGGTATATTATATGGAATTCCTCATTCAAACTCCTCAACTAGGGCTGGGTTGTGGCTCAGTAGTAGAGTGTTTGCCTAGCTTGTGTGAGCACTGGGTTCAATTCTCAGCACCACATAAAAATAAATGAATAAAATAAAGGTCCATCAACAACTAAAAAATATATATTTAAAAAAAAACTCAAATAAGTTGAGTTTGTGCCTTTTAACCTAATATTCCCACTCATACAGATTTGTCCTAAGGAAAAATATTCTAAAGGGAAATAAGTATAAGTACTCACAAGCAAAATATAAATATTAGCTGTTATAGTGGGGCTCACTTGAGATTTATTTTTATTTATTTATTTATTTATTTTTAGAGAGAGAGAGAGAGAGAGAGAGAATTTTTAATATATTTATTTTTTTTTAGTTTTCGGGGGACACAACATCTTTGTTTTGTTTGTGGTGCTGAGGATCGAACCCGGGCCACACGCATGCCAGGCGATCGCACTACCGCTTGAGTCATATCCCCAGCCCCTGAGCTTTATTTTTAATAGTTAAAAACTGAGAACAATCTAGAAGGAATATTTACATAAAATTTACTAGATTAGCTTGATGGGATATCTGAAACAAAGATTATCATTTTTTAAAAATTATAATTGTGAATATTATGGTACCATGGAAAATGTTTATGATATATCGAAAATATAGCATTTGGGGGCTGGAAGTATAGCTTAGTGATGGAGTGCTTACTTAAAACCCACTTTTTGGGGAATGTGCAAAGCCCCTTGGGTTCTCTCCTAGCACCAAAAAAAAAAAAAAGAAAAGAAGGTAGTATTTTTAGATTGTAAGTTGGGGAGTAATTTCCCCATTATTGCTATATTGTTGTTTAGGCAAAAATAAAGATCCCAGAAAGGGGAAAACAATGTTCTCACCTAAATTTGCTTTCAGTATTTGAAGTTTGGGTCATTCTTTACTAATTTCCCTTCTTCTACCTCCAGTCACTAAGTCAGTGTTTTTCAAATTTATTTCTTTGTGAGCCAATTACTGATACTGTGTCTTCCTAAACTTAAACTACTGCAATGGTAAAAACTCATAAAAACATTTCTTTATGAGTTTCTGGGGTTCAAACCCAGGCCCTTGTGCATGCTAGACAAGTGCTCTGTTACAGAGCTATGTCCCCTGCACTGTTGCAGATTTTTTTTTTTTACTTGTTTCTTCTTTCCATTTCACTTGGCATGTCATCACAGCTGATTTTTCTAAGTTACTCCTTTGTCCCTGTCATATTCCCAGATGAAAAATCTTCATTGCTCTTTGTTCGTTAGGAGTTAAATCCCAGATTTATTAGCTTGACATTTAAAACCCACTTTTAATCTTTTAGCTTCTCTTATGAATAAATCTTGATTTCAGCCAGACCATCTCCTTATAGATCCAGTTTTCTCCCATCAGCCTCTGCTTACACTGTTCTCTTGGTTGGATTTGTTCTACCCTGTCTTTCTGCTTATTCTGTTCACTATTTCTTTACTGTCCACAATCTCTTGAGGCCTTTTTTGACCACCTAAGTTCTTACTGATTGTCCTGTGTCTGAACTTCTATAGTACAAGGTGGATATAGCCAATTTTTATGACTTTGTCACTTGTGTGTACATATTCTTTATCTCTAAATAGATGATGAGCTATTTGAGATTATTTCTGTGTGCTTAGTACAGGGCACTTGATATGTATTTTTTGAGATGTAGAAGTAGCAAGCCTAATAAAGATAGCCTGTAGATAAATGAAATAGTTATCAAGTTCTTAAAGGTTATAAACCTTACTTTTATTTTTTTATTTTTATTTTTTTAAGATAGAGACAGAGAGAGAGAGAATTTTAATATTTATTTTTTAGTTTTTTGGCAGACACAACATCTTTGTTTGTATGTGGTGCTGAGGATCGAACCCGGGCCGCACGCATGCCAGGCAAGCTCGCTACCGCTTGAGCCACATCCCCAGTCCATAAACCTTACTTTTAAAATAAAGCCTATAGATGAAAATGGTTATGATTTTCTGGGAAATTGTGAACTTAATATACATGAATATAGTTTCAACATTTTTGTAAAAATCAATCTCTGTTTGGGTCCAATCTGAGTCTAAAGATAGTATTATTCTTTAGATTCTCCAGGGAACAAAAATTCTGAATTTCAAAAAATAAAAAAATTTTAAAGATTCTGAATTGCATTTTCTACTGATATTACAAGATAAATGATATCCAGTTCTCAGGCTTATCAGAATGAAAGAGAAAATTCTGATTTGATCTATATAGTATTAACTGGGAATTTGAGCTAGCAAAGAGTGAATTAATTAATTTAAAGAAGATTCTATTTTGTAATAATTTTCCTTGTTGGAAATCTCCAAGAGATATAGTTTTATCTGTAATAGGAATTAAAGCTAAATGATTCTGGGTTAATATAAAATCTGAAATTCTTTCTTTAATTTCCTTAGCGCCAGCAGAAACTTCAGAAAGAACGCCTCATGAATGACTTCTCTGCAGCCTTAAATAATTTCCAGGCTGTTCAGAGAAGGGTATCTGAAAAGGAAAAGGAGAGTATTGCCAGAGCAAGAGCTGGATCTCGTCTTTCTGTAAGTTGTTTCTTAAAAGCAAATTTTCAATTTCAGGATGTTCTTTCCTAAAATTTTTTTTCCTTTCTTTTCTCCTTGACCATCAGCCTTTGTTTGTTATCACTCCAAATAATAAACATATACATCAGCTGTTATAAAAATGTCAGATTGGCCAGGTGCAGTGGCACATGCCTATAATCCCAGTGGCTCATGCCTGTAAACCCAGTGGCTCAAGAGGCTGAAGCAGGAAGATTTCCAAGTTCAAAGCCAGCCTCAGAAACTTAGTGAGGCACTAAGCAACTTGGGGATACCCTGTCTCAAAATATAAAAAAAGGCTGGGGATGTGTCTCAGTGGTTTAGCACCCCTGGGTTTAATCCCTGGTACCAAAAAAAAAAAAAAAAAAAAAGTCAGATTGATATAGCCTAGGTTAAAAAAAAAAAAAAGTGTATGCATGTTGGCAAAGACTAAAATGGAATGTACATAAAGGTTAAAGGTTAAGAAAAAGTAGAATTATGTATAATTTTCATTTTGTTATATTAATCTATGTTAAAAATAAAGGATAAGTCTTGTTTTCTAGAATATAGCAAGCTAGGTTGTTTGGACTATCTCATTTTGAAAAGAATTTTCAAACACTGAGATTTAAAAACTCAACTTCTCAAAAGTAGCAAATAGCCATGGAAATAAATATTAAGGTCAAAATCTAAGAGAGGTAAGCAGAGCATTGAAAATGCTTTTTGCAATGAGTACGTTTTCTGAAGGCAAACTTGAACTTCAGTTTTGATGTCCTCATGACATAAAGAGGATAAAAGTCAAAGCTCAGGGTCCATGCATAGTAGAGAATATAAAAAGTGTTCTTAATATTAAACAGGACCCTAAAAGACTATATTCTTGGGATTTAAGAAAGCCAAAATAAGCCTTCCTTCAAAAACACTGAACTAAACAGGTGGTAGAGAGGGGTAAGAGGGAGAGAAGATCCAGACATTAAGTTCTGTTACAAAGAAATCTTCAAGCACATTTACTGCAAATTTATACTATCTCTATGTTCCAAAGCTTCAAGCTGCAAGTGGTTCTGGACTGTAAAATACCTATGCGCCTAGTAGAAGCAAATCCAAATCCACTTTGTGGAGACACCTTTATCCTAGCCTAGAAAGAATATCCTCAGGCTGGGGTTGTGGTTCAGTGGTATAGTGCTCACCTTGCATGCACAAGGCACTAGGTTCAATCCTCAGGGCCACATAGATTAAAATAAAGATATTGTATCCACATAAAACTAAGAGATAAATATTAAAAAAAAAACAAAACAAAAACAATATCCTCAAATACATTTCAAGCACTAGGTTAAAAATAACCAAGCACACAAAGAAACAAGTTATCCTATATAAGAACTACTAGAAACAACAGTAAAATGAAACATATCTGTAAAGACTGTATTGGAATTATAAGATAGCTATACTTACTGTGTTGAAAGAAATAAATGAAAAACTTAAAAACATCTACAGGAATCAGAAAACTACAAAAAGTTTTGAAAAAAAATTAAAAAATTCTAAAATTGGAAAATATAATAAGGAAATAAAAAACTTAATAGGTAGGTGGTTTAACTAGAAAATTGGTTAGATTTTTTTTTCCCCCAGTATGTAGTACAGGGGGTTAAGAAGCTAAATATGGAAGAAAGATTACGAGAAATGGCCAGGTGTGGTGGTGTACACCTATAATCTAAGTGGCTCCGGAAGCTGAGGCAGAGGATTGCAAGTTCATAACCAGCCTCATCAACTTTAGTGAGGATCTAAGCAACTTAGTGGGATAGTGGGACTCTGTCTCAAAATAAAATATAAAAGAAAAGGGCTGGGGATGTGGCTCAGTGGTTAAACACCCCTGGTTTTGTGAGTTACAGAATGAAAGCAGAGCAAATATAGAACAGAATTAATAGTTGAAGAGATAATGTTTTAGAAATGATATAATGACACTAATCCATCCATCCTTCCTTCCTTCCCCTTTCCCCTTTCTCCTTCCTTCCCTTCCTTCCCCTTTCCCCTTTCCCCTTTCCCCTTTCCCCTTTTCCCTTCCCTTCCCTTCCCTTCCCTTCCTGGAATTGAACTCAGGGGCACTAAACCACTGAGCCACATCCCCAGCCTTATTTTGTATTTTATTTAGAGACAGTCTCACTGAGTTGCTTATTGCCTTTCTAAGTTGCTGAGGCTGACTTTGAACTCATGTCTCATCCCCTGAGCTGCTTGACAAGCATGTGCCACCACGCCCAGTTCTAATCTATGGTTTCTAGAAGCCTAACAAATTCCAAGTAAGATAAATTTAAAAAAAAAAAATTATCAGAACACCAAAGACAGAAAATTGCTAAAATCCCTGGGGAAACAGTAGAATACCTTAAAGACACAATAGTTGGATTGACAGTTAACTTCTCAGTAGTAACAATGGAAACCATTAGAATGCTATCCATTTTGCAGGGAGCAAGGGTACCAGGAATTGAACCCAAGGGCCCTTAACCACTGAGCTACATCCCAGTCCCTTTTTTATATATTTTTTTAAGAGACAGGGAACTTATTGCCTCAATAAATTGTTGAGGCTGCTTTGAATTTGTGATTCTCCTGCCTCAGCCTCTGGAGCAGCTGGGATTATAGGCGTGTGCCACCACACCCTGCTAGAATGCTATCTTGAATGTTAATGAGGGAGAGTAACTGCCTCATAGCACTTTAAACCCAGTAAAAATATATATCCACAGTAAGGTCAAATTAAAGACATTTTCAGTTCCTGCCAGGCATGGTGGTGAACGCCTATAATCCTAGCTACATGGGAGGCTGAGGCAGGAGGATTGCAAATTTGAGGCCAGCCTCAGCAATTTAGCAAGACCCTGTGTCAAAAGTAAAAAAGAGCTGAGGATGTAGCTCAGTGGTAGAGTGACCTTGGGTTCATTCGCTAGCACAAAGAAAGTTTCTTAACACACTTTATTTAAGGAAGTTCTCAAGGAAAGTGATCCCCAAAGAAAAGTCTGAAGAGCCAAAAGGAATGAAGAGCAAAGAAAGTAGTAAATATGAGGAAAGATAAGCCACAGACAGAAAGAAGTGTTACTATATGTGAACAAAGGAGTAGAATTTGAATATTTTGTATAAAGAATTCCCTACGAGTCAATGTGAAAAAAAGTATAACCAATAGAAAACATTTCTTTTTTCTTTTTTTGGTACTGGAGATTGCACCCAGGGGTCTTCTACCATTGAGCTACATCCCCATCAATTTTTATTTTATATTTTGAGACAGGGTCTCACCAAATTGCCTAGATAGACCTCTTGCTTCTGCCTCCCAAATGGCTAGGATTATGGGCTTGTACCACCAGTCCTGAAAGTTCTCAAACTTTTGATCTCAGGACCCCATACACTTTTTTTAAAAATATATTTTAGTTTTTAATGGACTTTATTTTATTTATTTATATGTGGTATTGAGAATTGAACCCAGTGCCTTGCACATGCTAGGCAGGCACTCTACCACTGAGCCACCACCCCAGGTCCTGTTTTTTTGTTTTTTTTTAAATAGTGAACCCAGGGGCATTTTACCACTGAGTTCGTGTATGTTTATAAAAAGTTTTATAAAGGGCTGGGACTCTAGCTCAGCGGTAGAGTGCTTTCCTCGCATGTATAAGACACTGGGTTTGATCCTCAGCACCACATAAAAATAAATTAATAAACAAAGATATTGTGTCCATCTACAACTAAAACTATTTTTTAAAAAGTTTTATAAACTTTTATATATATTATTATAAAATCATATTGAAGCTAGGCACAGTGGCACATACCCCTAATGAGATTAGGGGAGACTCAAGTGGCTGAGGCAGGAGTATCACAAGTTCAGGCCAGCCTCAGCAAAGTAGTGAGACCCTGTCTCAAATTTTTAAAAAACTTAAAAAAGGGCTGGGATGTAACTTGGTGATAAAGCACCCCTGGGTTCAATGTCCAGTATCCCACTACCCCTATTCCCTACAAAAAAAAAAAAAATTGAATAAATAAAAATGTGTCATTCCCTAATTCAGCCTGCAACTGAACTATGCCAATGCTTTTCTTGGAGATAAACATCGTGTTTCAGTATGCAACATAAGTATGTTATATATACTTACCATTTTTGTCCTACAGGGTATTAAAAAGTTATATATCAAGGGGTAGAGATTTAATTAATAATTTGTATGGCTTTATCAAAGATAAACTGTTTAAAAAAAAAAAAAAAACAGTGCCTGATGATGAAGAAGACAGTATTTGGTGCCACTGCGTTGAGCCATTTTATCCACTATTGCTTTTACTTCACAAGTATAAATGTCAACACATTGAAAAAGGCTAACAAATATGTTGGTATTATTTTGAATAATGATCCAACAAATGAAGGGGTTCTTAGCCTCTTTAGTTAGTCATGGATTTTCTGATTAAAACAACAATGAAATACTATTTCATGTCTACCAGAAGGGCAGACATTTTAAATTCTGTGAACACTGCGGGTGGCTGTTAGATATGATGGAGCAGGAATTCTCCTATCTGGCCCAGGAGCAACCATTTTGGAAAACATTTTAGCTCCTTCTTCAGAACATATACATACTTTATGACTCAGCAGTTCTACCATAGAGGAACCTGCATACATATACCAGGATATATATTCAAGAATGTTCAGAGCAGCATTATTTGTAGTAGTCAAAAACTGTAAACATTGAGGCTGGGGGTGAAGCACAGTGGCAGAGTGCTAGTCTAGTGTGGATGAGGCCCTGCGTTCAATCCCCAGCACCACAAAAAAAATTAAAAACAACCAGATGTCCTTCAGCAGTAGAGGATATAGCTAAAATGTTTTTCAAAGTGGTGGTGGTGGTGATGATGGTGATGAAGAAGAGAATAATCCCTCTCTTTCTTACCCATGTTCTTCTGGTCCTCTTTAGTATGGTTTCTGTTCTGGGCCCCAACTGAAATGCTGATTTGCTTTTAGCTACTTCACACTCATTTCTTAGTTGAGACTGATTGCCAGCATCCTCTTGTCATCTTACAGATCCTGTTGGAGCCAGGGATATTAATTCTTTATACTATAACTAAGCAAACCCTTGTTTTATGTGTCTATGACATGTTTCTGGATACAGCAATAATAATGCCATCTTCTTTCTAGGCAGAAGAGAGACAAAGAGAGGAGCAGCTTGTTTCATTTGACAGGTAAAGAATTATTTATCCAACCTGATGTATAGTTGATGGGAGTCCGTATTTACCTAATCTGTCTGTATGTCTATCTATTAAATTCTTTCTATACTACTATGGAATTGAACTCCAGGTGGTCTACTACTGAGTTACATCCCCAGCCCTTGTTATTTTTGGTTTTGAGACAGGGACTCACTAAGTTTCTGAGGCCTCGCAATTTGACTTCGTCCTGTCTCAGCTTCCTGAGTAGCTGGGATTACAGACATATGCCACTGTTCCTGTCTGTCTGTATTTATTTACTTATTTTTTGGGTATCGAGATTGAACTCAGGGGCACTCAACCATTGAGCCATCCCCAGCCCTATTTTATGTTTTATTTAAAGGCAGGATCTCACTGAGTTGCTTAGTGCCTCACCATTGCTGAGGCTGGCTTTGAATTCGAGATCCTCCTGTCTCAGCCTCCCGAGCTGCTGGGATTAAAGGTGTGTGACACTATGCCCAGCTGTATGTATGTATGTATTTATTTATTTTATTGGCAGACACAACATCTTTGTTTTTTTGTATGTGGTGCTGAGGATCGAACCTGGGCTGCACACATGCTAGGCGAGCGTGCTACCGCTTGAGTCACATCCCCAGCCCTGTATTTATTTTTAATATAAAAAATGAGGGCTGGGAAAATGAGAAATTATATCCCATCTTTGTATGATATATCAAAGTGCATAAATACATTCTATTGTTACGTATAACTAATTAAAACAAATTAAAAACTTTTTAAAAATAATCCACATTTTCCAGCAAGAAACAAACAGGGCTGGGGATGTGGCTCAAGTGGTAGTGCACTCGCCTGGCATGCGTGAGGCACTGGGTTTGATCCTCAACACCACATAAAGATAAAATAAAGATATTGTGTCCACCTAAAACAAAAACAAAAAAAAAAAATGGGGACTGGGGTAGTAGCCCAGTGATAGAGCACTTGCCTAGTATGTGTGAGGCACTGAGTTCGATCCTCAGCACCACATAAAAAAATAAATACAATAAAAACATTGTGTCCATCTACAACTAAAAAATTTTTTTAAATGAATGAGAGGGACTGGGGTTGTGGCTCAGTGGTAGAGTGCTTGCCTAGCATGCATGGGGCACTGGTTCGATCCTCAGAACCACATAAATGTAAAATAAAGATATTATGTCCACCTAAAACTAAAAAAAAAAAAAAAAAAAAATTTAAAAAAAAAAAAAAGAAGGGCTACAACTATAGCTCAGTGGCAGGTGGCAGAGTACTTGCTTAGCATGTGTGAAGCACTGGGTTTGATCCTTAGCACTGCATAAAAATAAAGGCATTCTGTTCATCTACAATTACAAAAATAAAAATAAATTTTAAAAAATGAATGAGAAAAAAAAGAGAAAAAAAAATGAATGAGAAGCCATGTGTGGTGGCACATGCCTATAATCCCAGCAACTCAGGAAACTGAGGGAGGAAGATTACACATTGAAGGACAGCCTCAGCAATTTAGTAAAACCTTGTCTCAGAATTTTTTTAAAAAAAAAAAGGAGCTCACTCCTTGGTTGTGACTCAGTGCTAGAGTGAGGCCCTGGGTTCGATCCTCAGCATCATATAAAGTAAATAAATAAATAAAAATACAGATATTGTGTTCATTATAACTAAAAAGATACTTTTTAAAAAGTAGGTCTGGGATCTAGGGGTTGTAGCTCAGTGGTGGAATGCCTCTGGGTTAAATCTTCATTGCCACCAAACAAAAATGAAACAAAAACAAAATAATGAGAAAAAAGTACAAAATAAAGGGAAGACATGGGCTTTTCTAAGATCTTTGAATTAAAGGAGGAATAATTTCAAGGTGAATAAAAAATTTCAAGAAACCCCTGATACCCTTTTGTGGAGATGAAGCTTGACTCATGGGAATAAATATGAACCCACAAATCTACAGATTAGGAGGTCTCAGTCATTTTATCTCTAATTCAGATTTAAGTTTGCCAATGTTATTTGGTCTCTGTTTACTCACCTCTGAAATGGAGGCAACTCATCCTTTTAGGAACATGAAGAGAAAAAGCAGATAGTTTGTATCTGAAAGATGTCTCTTCTCTAAGCTAATCTCAGATATGTATTCATGGCATTAGTTTGGAATTTAAAAATTTTTATCCTGTACCCATTTCCCCTACTACACTATGAACATCTTAAAGGCATGGAGGACTCTTGACTTATTCAGTTTGTATCTCCAAGTCATGGAGGACATTCTTTAAATATGTGGAAATGAAGTATGATTCATACATACTGTTTAAAAATGCATTTTCAAAGTGTTCTGTATCTAGTATAATAATTTCTTCTAAATACTTTCAGAATTTATAATATTTCATTATGAATTTTGGTTTTACTTTGGTTTTCTGTTACGAGATATATAACACAAAAACATAACCTTAGGGAAATTTTTGAAAACCAGGCGGTTTGATTCTGTTAAATGAATTAGTGAAGCACTGGTAAAGTACTTAGCCTGCTCTCCTCCACCCAAAGTACCAATACAGCTTGCACTTAGAGAGTGCCCTGGGAGAGGATGAGTCAGAGAAATTCATTGAGTTCAGATCTTGGATTACTTTCCTTGTCTACCAAGTCCTAACAAGATTACAGAGTATACCCCTAAATGAAAAAAAAACAAGGAATCTCATCCCCAATAATTTTGCCCAGAGGCTGAGACTGTTTTCTTGGTATTACCAGCTCTTTTCCTCTGGTATGAAGCTTGTGGTCCTTGGGGACTTTGTAGTGATAAGGGAGGAGTTGGTGCCCCAGTTATCCTTTACATAGGTTCTGCTGGCAACAGAGGAATTGTAGGTATGTCTCACCTAAAGAAGGAGGATTCATCTAGAGTGCTTGTCTCCCTGCAGCCATGAAGAGTGGAACCAGATGCAGAGCCAGGAGGATGAGGCAGCTATCACTGAGCAGGATCTGGAACTCATTAAAGAAAGGGAAACGGCTATTCGGCAGCTGGAGGTGAGAGCTAGGTCATGTTTTTTTGTTTGACTAAGTGTTATCTGCAGGTATTTGAGATTTTAAGCCTGAAGTTTCTCAGTTATGAAAAAGCATAAAATGAGTCATGTGTTTGCACATTATCTGTCACAATTTAGTCATGGTGGATTTTAACTACTGCTACTAAGTTGCTGTGATGGTTTTTGGCCTTGGCATTTAGCAGTCCCCAAATCCTTTTCTCCAGTACCACATCTTACTTGGTCTCCTTGAGAAATACACAGAGAACAGAGCAAGACAAATGAATATTTATTTTTTATTAGGACTTTACCCTTAAATCTCAATAGCCACCTCTAGACTGGGCATGACTCTATTGAGAGTCCCTTTGTTAGTCTGGTTAGAACAGTATATAGGTAAGCCAAAAGTCTTATTCCATTTTTGAGTTAATTCTAGAGTCCAAATCCAAGTTGTAGATATTATTATTTCACTGGGTCAGAGAAATGGAAATAGTTTATGAAGTAGGGGTTTGGAGTGTTGGGGGGTCTGTAGACCTTTCTTAAATAACTGAGCTCCGCCTTGAACTTTGCATAGTAAACAGTAATATATCTTTAAATAATTTGATTTTCTTCCCCGTGGAGGTAGATGACTACCATCTCTGGGGTGGGGACAATAGTGGAGAAACTTGGAGTGCCTCCTTGACCTTCATCTATAGCAGTGGTTTTGAACCCAGTTTATGCATATTAGATTCACTGGGGAAGATTTTTTTTTTTTTAAATGCCTGAGTTCTTCTCCTGAACCATCAATTACGTGAAATTCCTTTTTTAGGTTAAAAATGGGCAAATATCCACATTTTTATATGGCTCAGCCTAATAAATCATAATTACTAGTGATGCCTATGTTTTTTAATTTCTTTCTTTCTTTTTTTTTTAGAAAGAGAGAGAGAGAATTTTTTAATATTTATTTTTTAGTTTTCAGCGGACACAAAAATCTTTGTTTGTATATGATGCTGAGGATTGAACCCAGGCTGCACACATGCCAGGCAAGCGCCCTACCGCTTGAGCCACATTTCCAGCTAAATCATAATTACTAGTGATGAGGCCCTGAATATTTTATAATTCCCAGATGGTTATAATATGTAGCCAAAATTGAGACCCACTGCTTGAGGGGCCATCAGTGTCTGTTTTATTTTATTTATTTATTTTGGCAGGGGTGGGTACTTGGGATTGAACCCAGAGATGCTTTACCACTTAATACATGTACCCCAGCCCTACATCTCCAGCCCCCCCCCCCTTTTTTTTGAGACAGGGTCTCGCTAAGTTGCTTAAGGCCTTGCTAAGTTGCTACGGTAGGTCTCAAACTTGAAATCCTCCTGTCTCAGTCTCTCAAGCTGCTGAGATTACAGGTGTGTACCACCATGCCTGGCCAATGTCTGTTATCTTATTTATTTATTTTTATGTGGTGCTGAGGATTGAACCCAGGCCCTCGCACATATTAGGTGAGCGCTCTACCACTGAGCCACAACACCAGCCCTGTCACATCTCTTTTATAATTATGTCAAAATGAATCCTAACATTATATATAACTAAAAAGAACTAATGAAAAGCAAATGTATGAACAAAAATATGTTATATCTTTCCTTTTACTTTTTTAAAAAATATTCTTTTATTTAATATTTTTTTAGTAGTAGTAGATGGATGTAATACCTTTATTTTGTTTATTATGTGGTGATGAGGATCCAACCTAGTGCCTCACACTTGCACTACCACTGAGCTCTACCACTGAGCCACGACCCCAACCCCTCCTTTACTCTTTTTCACTTGCTAATCATTGACTTGGTTCTCTAACATTAGAAATGTGAACAGGGAGCAGAGGGAGACATATGGAGTTAAGGAAAGGAATGTAATGTAATGAATGTCAGGAATGGGGATCACTTCACATTTGACAGAGTCCCTTGGGATCAATTTTCATATCCAGTCATTTCTTTTTTGGGGGAACAGGGATTGAACTTAAGGGCACTCAACCACTGAGCACATCCCCAGCCCTGTTTTGTATTTTATTTAGAGACGGGTTCTCACTGAGTTGCTTAGCACATTGCTTTTGCTGAGGTTGGCTTTGAACTCGTGATTTTCCTGCCTTAGCCTCCCAAACCGCTGGGATTACAGGCGTGTGCCAACGAGCCTAGTCAGTCATTTTTTATCTTAACATACAAACCTTATGTTATAGCCAAATAAGTCTATTTGCTTCCAAGGTTACATGAGATCAGGCACATTCAGGGTGGTTTGGCCATGACTATTTGCTCTTTAACTCACTTCCTGTTTATATGGCCTTTTCTTTGCTTTAAGGCACAACTCAAGGCCTGTCTCTTCTGCAGTCTTCCTCTTTTGCACACCTTTCTGTACCACTCATTAGTCATTTCCTCTATATCACCCTTTTTTTATTTATCTTATCATGTACTTATTTCCCCAGTGGCACTAGGGCACTGCCCAAATGGCAGTAGAAAACAAAAGAATCAGTCCTGGGGGAAAAGAGGCTTCCTTCCTGTGACATCCCCTCCTCCTTGCATTTACCAGGTAGCAAGATCCCATATAAATACATTTAAATTTTCTAATCCAAAGTCACAGTACTCATTGTTGTTTGTTGGCACTCATAAGCTTTTGCCATAAGGCCCCATCTAGAGCTATCACACCAAGAATTTATCCATCCCAGCAATCCAGCTTCTATTCTATAACCTTTTGGCTTGGGTGATCATACTGGTTCCCATATAGCACATTCAACTAATATTGCTTGACAGATGGGTTTACATGCCTTCCATTTTATGCTATTAGGTAAATAGTGATAGATTATTTTCTGTTATAGAGAAATCATGTTTTATCGAGTTTTAAAAACATATTTGGGAAGCCAGACACAGTGATACACATCTGTAATCCCAGTAACTTGGGAGACTGAGGCAGGAATATCACAAATTCAAGGCCAACATCAGCAGTGTAGCAAGACTTTCAAAGTTGGGGCTGGGGATGTAGCTTAAGCGGTAGCGCGCTCCCCTGGCATGCGTGCGGCCCGGGTTCGATCCTCAGCACCACATACAAACAAAGATGTTGTGTCCGCCGAAAACTAAAAAATAAATATTAAAAAAAATTCTCTCTCTCTCTTTAAAAAAAAAAAAAAAGAAAAAAGACTTTCAAAGTGAAAAAGGACTGGGCATGTAGCTCAGTGATAAAGTGCCCTGGGATCAATACCCAGTACCAAAAAACCACATGTGGGACTGGGAGTATATAGATCAGTGGTGGAACACTTGCCTAGCATGAATGAGGCACTGGGTTCAATCCACTATAAATAAAACTAAGCAGCCAAAAACAAGACAAAATAAACAAACAACAGAAAAGCTAAAACTAGAGGAAAGGAATCATCTAACATGTTGCTTAATGTTAGTTGTTTTTTGTCTCCCTTAGGCTGACATTTTGGATGTCAATCAGATATTTAAAGATTTGGCCATGATGATCCATGACCAAGGTGATCTGATTGGTATGTATTATTGATACCTTTAATATCAAGGTGAGTTGAAAGTATTTGTGTGCCAAGAAGTCAGTAAGATGTGTCAAATATAGAATTAAAGTTTGGGATTATAATTTTAAAATTACTAAGTAAATTTTCTTAGTAATATTCATATATTGTCAAATGTGGAAGGTAAAGAGAGGCCTTTGTGAATAATTAGCCCTATTCACTTGCCATAACTTCTTGGGAAGTCTTTGCTTAAACAAATAGCTATCAGCTTCCCAGCTTTTCTCTCTAGATACTTGCACAATTATGGGATTAGTGACTTTTTAAAAACTTTTTATGTGAAATTAATCTTAAGTTTATAAAAAGTTTTTAAAAATACAGGGAACTTGGGCTGGGGATATAGCTCAGTTGGTAGAGTGTTTGCCTTGCATGCACAAAGCCATGGGTTCAATCCCTAGTACCACCAAAAAAAAAAACAAGGAACTCCTTTATACCCTTTACTCAAATTTACATCTTGTTATCATTCTGCCCCATTGACTTTGTACTCTCACTCTGTGTGTGTACACGTATGTGTCTGTGTGTGTACACGTATGTGTCTGTGTGTGTATATATCCAAACAGGATATTGTATTTTCACTTTGGAATTGCCATCCACAAACCAAGCAGCTCTTTGTTGGTCAGTGGAAAACTGCGCTACACACACGCACGCACACACAAACACACACAGAATGTTTTTATGTATTTTTTTTTCTGAATCATTTAGTCACAGAGTTCTTAAATCCTTATCCCTAAATACTTCAGTGTTTATTTCCAAAGAATAGGGTTATTCTCTTATTGAGGTAGTAACTTTTGATTTCATGACTGGTGATAGCAAATCCAGGACCCATAATATCCAAGGGTGCTAAAATTTCCCCTGTCCTTTTTGCAGATAGCATAGAAGCCAATGTGGAAAGCTCAGAGGTGCATGTTGAAAGAGCCAGTGATCAGTTACAGCGAGCTGCTTACTATCAGGTAAAAGTAGATACCAAAGAAGGTCTTTTTGTACTGCACACTTTATGAGCCATCAGGATACATTGACACATTAAACAGCTGCAGCCTCTTCTTTAGGCTTAAGCTGGAGGCAAGTAGTCATAATTGTTTTGCTGGTTCTGTTTTAGTATTTTCCTTTACCTGACTGAATCTTGAATAAATTTATACAAAACCCTCTTAGCTGCAAAGCTAACCCATAAGCTAGCCATAATAGCTGAACCTAGTATAAGAATAGTTTTATATCCTAAGCAGCTGAAATGTATTTGAGTTAGGATAGTAAGAGGTACAAGTAAAGTGGGGTTTCATAGATACTGGCTATAGAAGATGGACATAGAATCAACTATAATAGCTACTTATATGTGAATAAATAAGGCTTAATTATTATTAAGCTATGCCTATAAAGTGAAATTCTTCTATTTATTAGTTGAGACTCTGGTTTTATGAATTTTGGGTCTTTATTTCAATGTACAAATATTGTAAATAAGCCCTTCTTATTTCCCTTCAATTTAGGTTGCATTTTTTTTTTAAATAAATAAATAGCATTTCAGTCACTTTCCAGGTTCCTAGGGTATATTTTATCTGGGAATGCTCTATAAAAACTAGGTGATGGCTTTAGTGTCCATTACATATATATCCACTTGATGTTGTATGATGTTTAAATTAAGAGATGTTTATGAAGAGTTTATAATAACAAAAATGTTAATGATAAACATTGAGAAAAATATCAAAATCATACAGTATGATCCCAATTATGTTGGACAACAATATGCATACGTAAGAGATAAGAATGCAGTCAGTGGTTTTATCAGTGGGTGATTTTCTCCTTTTGCTTTTTTTTTTTTAATACAATGAACATAAAATTTTATAATAGGTATAAAACTGTTACTAAAACACATGTACAAATCACTTACTGCAAATAATGCCTAACAGCATAGGTATATGCAAAACTATTTGGGAACAATTTAAATCTGTACTACTGCCTACTGGTGGTAACTTAGAGATTTTGGGGAAGTCTCTTCATATTTGTGCATGGGTAGAGTTGATTTTGAATTATAAGGAGGCAAATTTATGAAGCAGTCTTGGAGTCTAATTAGATATAGAAAATTTTACTTGTTTCATGAGTGTCTTCATTTCTTTCCTCAGAAAAAATCTCGCAAGAAGATGTGTATCCTGGTACTTGTCCTGTCAGTGATTATTGGAGTCTTGATAGTTATTATCTGGCAAGTTTCTAAATGAAGTGTGACTGCCTCAGAGCCTTCTCCTGCTGAGTTGTTTTCAAAAGCAAGTGCTTGTTGGAGTCTTGCGAGAACAAACTGATCACAAGAAGAGAGCATACATCAGAATGTCCTGTAATAATTTAGTTAGAAACTAACTACTAACTAGTCCTTGGAATTAGTGACCTATGGAGACAGTATTTATCAATTTATGTATACAGTTTATTGATTTCTCAAATTAGGAATTAACTTATATGAATTTTGCTTTCTCTTGTTTTCTGATTGCCCTTCATTCCAGGTGTTTACTGAAAATTCCATTCTACATATTCTTTTTGACAGATGACACTACAGTCTCATTATATTGTCTTTTTATGTATATATAAAATTTACCTTTTTACTAGCAACTGAGATGAATTACTTTCTGGGACCCAGCATATTGGAGTCTCTCAGAAACTGTACAATATGCCAGCAATTTTTATTATTTAACATTCTAATTTGAATTTATAAGAAGTTTATTACCTGCTTTGCAAAATTTTGGCACTATATTTAACTGGAGAATACCTGTGATTTAAATTGAATGAGAAAAAAGATGAGAAGTATCTATTTGAACTGGCTGGTTGCTGGGTATGTGTTTTAATCGAGTTTGAAGTTTACTTTATCTACTTTATCTGCTAGTGTCATCCACAGCAGTTCATCCTCATATACACTAAGCCATCTTGCTCCCTTTTCAAAGAGGTTAATTTAATCAATATTAATATACTCTATGGGTCCTTCTCCCACCTGTCTGCAAAGAAAGGGAGAATTAGACATAGCATGCTTTTGGAAAGCAAATAGGAATTGTTTGGAATGATTTAATCTTTCTGTTGTTGTTGTTCACTTGTGGTTTTACATTCCTAGTGAATGATGAATTTGCTGTCAAAAGGCTGCCCCTACCCTGTAAGGGTTTCTGGGCATTTGATGGCAGGGAGATTTTAAAAGTTAAACTGAAGTGGATTTAAAACTTAGTCCTGTGAACCTGGTGATAAAGCAAAGGTTCATTTTTGTAAATAATACTGGTTTGGTATAGTGATGTTAGACTCATTCTAATTTATGAATAAATAAAACTCCATGCATAGTTTTAGACAAAAAAGATTCAATAAAAGATTGCTGTCCTGTAATATAAATGTTGTCCACTTCCCTTTTTCACAGGCCTAAGTACATAAATGTGAACAGGGCCAACAATTTTAGTTCATCCTTTAGTGAATTTAAAGATTTGGCTACTTAACAAATATTTATGTTCATTTCTTTCAGTTGCCCTTAATGTTAATTAATTTTCTTGTACTAAATTAATGTGAAAAGCAGGGAAACAAGAGCCCAAATGCATAAGTTTCTTTGCACTTTTGCACCATTCTACCTATTTAATACAAATAAACATTTGAAAAGCTTTTGTAGTAAGTTTTTTTAAAATGTTTTTTTAGTTGTAGTTGTATACAATACCTTTATTTAATTTATTTATTTTTATGTGGTGCTGAGGATCAAACCCAGTGCCTCACATGTGCTAGGCAAGTGCTCTACCACTGAGCCACAACCCCAGACCTGTAATAAGTTTTTATGAGTTAACATCCTAATGAGATAGGTATTAAAGAAACATGCTATCATGAGAAAAATTGAGACTTGCAAGACTGGAGACCTGATGAAGGTCCAGTGGGGGTGGAATTTAAGTTGAAAGAGGATAGAGCTGTTGGAGTGACACAGTGGCACAGTTCTGGTTCACTGCCTTTCTGCTCCAAATTACAGTTGGACTTGGATATATCATTTGTAAACATTCCAGAAAAGGAAAAGTTTTGATTGTGAAAAACTAGTTGAATCTAGGTAAAATAAAGTAACCATAGTTCTATTCTGTAGTACTATGTGATCAGTGATGGTTGTAATGATGGTCACAGTGAGCAAATATGAACTTGGCCTAGGATTTGTGGCAGGTGCCAAAGGACTTGCTAGATGGGCCTAATAAACTTATTCACAGAGTCCTCCTTCCCTCTGCCTTTCTTCTCTTTGGAACCACTATGATCTGGGACAGTGGTTCTTAACTATGACTTTTAATTAAAATTTTAAAAAATACTGATATCTTAGCCTCCCCACCCCAAGATTCTAATTCCATTAGTCAGGACAATGGTTTGGGCATGGGAATTTTTTAAAGCTCTGGGTAATTCTTATGTGTGGTCATGGTGAGAACCATTGGCTTGGAGGTCAAAAAGTAGACTGGATTACAAAAGACCTATAGAATTTTAGCTCTGCCATTACTTATGAGGCTACTTGGACAGATCACTTAACCCACAGGCCCCAAATTTCTCAGTAGTTCTTTCCAGCTATAAAATTGACTAGAAAGATGATGGGTTTAGTATGAACATACAAATTGTATGTTTGCCTTTCTACTCCCTTTTCCTTTTCTCATAGCCTATTCTACCTTCCTTTATTGAAATGTTCTATGAGCATCCTCTCTTTAAATGAATTAAAACTTGTATAGGGTAAAGTAGAAATGTCATTCTGGCCACTTCATCTGGGGATGTTTTAGAACAAGAACTCGCTAAATGATAAGACTGATGCTCCCAGACGGTGTGTGTGTGTGTGATTTCTGTAAGGGCTGGAAATGGGAGTGTTCACCCATTGCAATGCACAATCTAGCTCTCAAACCAAACTTTTACTGTCTTGCATCATTGGGCAAAAACATTAAAATGAGTTTATTCTGTCTGTGCAAAGCAAAACACTCAGCCTCTTGCATTCAGTATTTCTTTCTATTCAGAGACTTAGTCATGATTGTGAAAAACTAGTTGAATCTAGGTAATTTATAATAAAATGACCACAGTTATGGAAATGCAACTTTTGCTTTTGATCACTAAGTGCAGAGCAGAGCTTCACTTATGTCTCAGTCTAGCATACTGTTCCATAAGCTAGGAATCACCTGCTTCTTCTCTGCTTTTCTAAGCATATTGAATGTATCCTTAAGCTTCAAAGGATTTTTTCAGTTTTACTTTTCAGTATCACAAAATAGAATTACTTTAGAATCTCCATTTAACCAAGATATGGTTGAAAGATTTTGATTCTTAGCCCATGATCTATTTTTGGACCAACTGAGTTGCTCATTTGAATACCTCATCTAAATGAAATTTGATTCACAATATAGCACTAATTTTTTTTGTGTGTGTGTGTGGGGGGGGTATTGAACCTAGGGTCTCCTGCACACTAGGCAAGCACTCTATCACTGAGCTATATCCCTAATCTAATGTTTAAAAAATAAATTTGCAATAATACAGTCTTTAGTGTTGGTTTATGGTCAAGGATCAAGTTTATAACAGTCCATGGAAAAACAAGAAAAATGAAGTGGTGGCCTTACCCCGCCCCCTCCAAGTTTCTGGGGATCCAATCTGGGTCCTCACACATGCTAGATAAGGCTCTACCACTAAGCTAACATTCCTATCGTCTTCCAACTTTTTAAAAAGGCTGGGGGTAAATTGATAAAGCTCAATATGTGTAAGGCCCCAGTTTCAATCCCCAGCAACATATACACACACACACAGTGTTTTAATATTATTGAAGTAAAATGCTGGTGATATTAAGTGGCAGACTTCATTTTTTAAAATCTAATTGGCAAAATAAAAAAAATGCTACCCTGTATTGCATTATATTGTCTGGTCCATGACATCTCTAAAGTCCTGAATTATCCATGTAGACTAGCCTCATTAATTTACAGTGAAAGGCCTGAGGCAGGAATAGCAGTCCAATAAGGAATTGAAAATCTTGAGAGGATGCTCGGTATGTGAATGGTCATTTGTGGAATATTTTAACCCTAATGGCAAGATACTAGGCTAAATGTTTTATATTTATTAACTTATAAAGCTATGTGAGAATCCCTTTTTAATGGCTCAGAAAGCTGAGGTATAGTAAGCTATCTGCCCATGGTCATACAGCTTACAAGTGACAGAGCCAAGATTTAATGAAGTACTCAGGCTTCAAAACCACACCTTTAGACACTGTATACTGTCTCCATGAATTGCTAATAAATAGATCTTTTGATGTCCTGCTTGCCATCTCTTCCATGAAGCTTTCCCTAAAATTCTGGGGTTTTTTTGTTTTGTTATAGGAAGGGGAATGGGGATTGAATCCAGCAGGTTTAATCACCGAGCCATATTCCCATCCCTTTTTATTTTTTACTTTTTAGATAGGGTCTTACTAATTGCTTAGGGCCTTGCTAAATTGCTGAATCTGTCTTTGAACTTGCCTCATCCTCCTGAATTGCTGGGATTATAGGCATGCACCACCATGCTTGTAAGTCCCTAAAAATTTGAGGAAATGATCATTTCTACCCAACTTCTCATGAACATTCTTTCTTCTGTCAGCACATTGTGCACTTCTTTTCATTTACCACCCTATTAAATGAAGCTTCCAGCTTATATACAATTTTTCAAATGGATTATACTCCATTTGATCATTCATAAATCATATCAAAGATGCTTTAAAGTTTTTTGACACTGATATGTTCCTAATGTCTTTAGATTCTAGTCTACTCTTTTTTGAGATACCAAAATCCAAAGGCAGCTAGTTCAACAGTCTCCATTTTAAAAGGTGAAAGGCCTGCATTACTGTCCTCCAGTTTGCTGGTCTGTACTGACATCATTGGCGCCCAAACAAAGAGCATTTTGCTTTATAAGGACCTGGGTAAATGTAAGGTCCCATTACATCAGAGGCCAGTGTGAATATCAGCTGAGCTGGAAATGGGGAACATGGCCAAGGAGTAAAGAATTATAAGGGTAAGATTATAACTTTTAGGGTTCTTGGCTGTATGAATTATACTGGAAGGACCATGTGAAAAAGCTGAGAAATTGAAAGGCAAAGTTGACATAAGATTTTTGTCAGGGCTGGGGATGTGGCTCAGCGGTAGCGCGCTCGCCTGGCATGCGTGCGGCCCGGGTTCGATCCTCAGCACCACATACCAACAAAGATGTTGTGTC